GATCCCAAATCCTTGGGATTGGTGTCCTGGGGATCCCAAATCCTTGGGATTGGTGTCCTGGATCTTCCCAAATCCTTGGGATTTGTGTCCTGGGGATCCCAAATCCTTGGGATTTGTGTCCTGGGGATCCCAAATCCTTGGGATTGGTGTCCTGGGGATCCCAAATCCTTGGGATTGGTGTCCTGGGAATCCCTAATCCTTGGGATCGAGGTCCTGGATCTTCCCAAATCCTTGGGATTGGCGTTCTAGGCCTCCCCATGCCTGGATCCATCCCCAAATCCTTGCTGTTTGTTTTCCAGCGTTTTCCGTGGATTTAACGGATTTTTGGTTTCTTCCCACCATTCCCTGTTCTTCCCAAATCCTGATTTTTGCCCTATATTGGAATTCCTGGGAATTTAGGGCTGGAATTCCTGAGCGTTTAAGATGGAAATATCTTGGAATTTTTTTGGAAAATAATGGGATTTTTGGGCAAAAATTCCAGGGGTTTCCTGGTTAAAATTCCCGAGATTTTGTGGCCAAAATTCCCGAGATTTTGTGGTCAAAATCTTCAGGAATTTTTGCCTGAGATCCACAGGATCTCCTGACTGAAATCCTGGGATTTCATGGTCAAAATCCCCAGGAATTTTTCTGCCTGAAATTCCCAGATTTCCCAGCCAAAATTCTCAGGAATTTTTGCAGAATTTCATGGAATTTTGTGGCTGAAATCCCTGGAATTTCGTGCCTGAAATTCCTTTGCGGAAACACCAGAAAAAAATGGGATTTTTGAGGTAGAATTGCGGATTTTGGGGCGATTTCGACCGCGATTTCAACTTGGAATTGTTTTTTTTTTTTCCCAGCAATTTTTTTCTGAGAATTCCAGGATTTTTTCCCCTCTTTTCCTTTACCCTTTTCCCGCCTTTTTTTTTTTTTTTTTTTTTTTAATCCCAGGATTTTGGGGGAGGGCAATGCCGGCCTCATGGCTTTGGCCACGGACTCCACACCCGGCAAACGGATCCGGAAACCTTCGCTGCTCTACGAGGGATTCGAGAGCCCCACCATGGCCTCGGTGCCTTCCCTTCCCAATCCTCAGGCGAATCCTCCTCCTCCGGAGGTTTCCAATCCCAAAAAACCCGGCCGGATCACCAACCAGCTCCAGTACCTGCACAAGGTGGTGATGAAAGCCCTCTGGAAGCACCAGTTCGCTTGGCCCTTCCGCCAGCCCGTGGACGCCGTCAAGTTGGGGTTGCCGGTAAGATTTTTTTGGGATATTTTTTTTTTTTATTATTTTATTTTTGGGGGAATTTTTTGGGGGATTTTTGGGGATTTTTTGAGAATTTTTTTTGGTTTTTTGGGGATTTTTTTTGGATTTTTTTGGATTTTTTGGGGGGGATTTTTGGGGATTTTTTTTTATATTTTTTGAGAATTTTTTTTTATTTTGGGGGGATTTTTTGGGAATTTTTGGGGATTTTTTGGAATTTTTTTTCAGGATTTTTTGGGAATTTTTCAGGGATTTTTTTTGAGAATTTTGGGAGATTTTTTACGAATTTCTTGGAGGATTTTTGGGGATTTCTTGGGATTTTTTAAGAATTTTTGGGGGATTTTTTGGGGATTTTTGGGGGGAATTTCTTGGCAATTTTTGGGGGATTTTGGGGGGAATTTCTTGGCAATTCTTTTGGCATTTTTGGGGGGATATTTTGGGAATTTTTTGGGGATTATGGGGAATATTTTGGTGTATGAACGTGGATTTTAATTCCCAACTCCTTTCAAAAACCCCAATTCCAGCAGAAAATTCCCAGCAGGAATTCCCAAACCCCCAA